GTGCTATCAAGAAACAGCAAAAGGATTATTTACAGCCATTATAATTTGCTCAGATTTCATCTTTTTTTTTAACTATGAAAATAGTAGGTAGGCTTAGAGATGTTGTCCTCATTTAATAACCACGTTCAATACAATTTTTGAACAGCCACTGTAAGAATACAAAGAATTATGTAAGTGGAAGGGCAAATCCCAATTAATACCTCATTAATACTCTAATACCTCATCTTTGGTATGCATGTAGCACCAAGGAGATTTTTGGGAAGAAAGTAGAAAAAGAATTTAAGATTAAAAGTTTCAGTACTGCAATGCCTTTATGCAAGCAGACCCAAGTATTCATGTTAAATCAATGGCAGACACAAAATAACTATTTGAATTCTATTTAAGTAAAAACACATACTACAACTTGGCAGAATCAGCCATTGTGTTTCCTTTCAATGCCCAAGATGCTGTCATGAGTATTCATAAAATAGCTCTATCCAAATCCTTATGTTGTTGCGAAACTCAAGAGAAATAATATGAAGACACAGACAAGCAAATTTTCAAGCCAGCTTGCACAGCTTCCACTCATCCTAGTGAAACCTAATTTACTTCTTATAGCAAAATTTGGCCTCAAGTTTCAAAAATTGTACAAAGTCTTGGGGGTTTGGCCTTTTAGAATACCCTGAAGTAGGGACTACTTCTAGAAAAGACTTGGTTTTAACCAGCTGTTGGAACAGAGGGTAGAAAAATTAATGTTCTATTGCAGGTCAGGGCTTTTTCAATACTATATAAAATAACCTAGGAGTCATGTGAAATAAGAAATAAAGGTTTTTAATTCTAGTATAAATTTTATGAGGAAAATTGGTGCTATTCTGAAGAAGAATGTGAAGATATGCTTGTATACTGCCTGCTCCTGAGGCCAGACACATCTCCTGAGCCTATGCTAAGACCCCTCCTGCAAGGCGAATGAGAGTGTCATGAATCTTACTCATCCTGCCACATTCTAAACCTGTGGATCCAGGTGTCTCTTCAGCCCTCAGAACTACCCTCAGAGCCCCCTACTAGAGGATCAGTATGTCCCAGAAAATTCTCAACTGTCTTCTTAGTATGTAGCTTCTGTATAGAAATGGTGCTACTATCTGTTCACTGAAATGAGGTGTTTCCTACTTCTGAACAGCAAGGAATCATATTAAGGAAACCCAACAAAAGAAGGTATGATTATTTGAATTTATTATGGCTAACACTATCATAATTTCTCATGAGATTCCAAATTATCTGGAAAGTCATTTTATTTTCATGAGAATGTAACATCAAATAAACAAGAGGAATTGTGATTCTGCCAGAATTCTACAAATTTTGAAGATAAAGATTTGAAGGCTTTGGTAACATCCTCAAAAAATACTACTTTACCATACTTATTAACATTTGCATGTCCAACAAGTGTAGTGTACATATCAAATGCAGGTATAGAAAGCTTCCTTTTGGTTGCTTCTAGTTCTTTTTTACTGAAGAAAAAAATCATAATCTAAAGAAATTTATTCCTAAATAACTTGTCATATGGTCCTGTTGTTCATCTTTTCTGTTATGCTGAATTCTTGCATTTTGGGGCAGATCAAAATCATTATTAGAGCAGACTTCTTCAGCTAGACATGATTTCTATGCATTTAGTAACCCTCAGTGGATTTCTTTTGTAATGTAAAAATCACACATGGACAATTGCCTGAACAGGAAAACACACTTGGTGAATAAAGAATGTACCGTACCAACTGCTTTAGGCACGTAAGTTATTCAGATTTACTTTCATCATTGCTTCCCTCTCCTGCACCACTGTCCAAGAATCAAAGAGCTGGATAATATCAGGCTCCTGTGGCTCCTGATACATCTCCATATAATTAAGGATAGAAATATATCTACATGTTAAATTTGGTTAGACAAATAAAAAGTTAGGAACAGGATTCTCCTCTTTATGACAACAGACTCTAAGGTGATGAAGTTGTGTTTTGCCTCTGTAAGCTCCTGATACATCTCCATATAATTAAGGATAGAAATATATCTACATGTTAAATTTGGTTAGACAAATAAATTTGTCTAACCAAAGTTAGACAAATTTAGGAAAAGTTAGGAACAGGATTCTTCTCTTTATGACAACAAACTCTAAGGTGATGAAGTTGTGTTTTTTCTCTGTAAGTTGCAAAGAAATCCACTGTTTGGCTTATTTCCTAGTAAGAAAAACAGTATGTAAGAATGGCACGAACATGGTACCCATTTGAACCTGTGTAAGAACATACAAACTCAAGTTATAAACTGATGAACATCAGCAAGTCCGAATATGCTAGTTACATAATGAACATTTTTTATTACTGATTAATATCCAGATAAAGGGATCTGTAAAAAGAAAGCATTTAATTTTTGCAATAAATTTTACTTTTCTTGAAGTAATTTTTGCCCACTAACAAAGAAATACTGGTATATACTGTGGAATGAAAATATATGTACAGTCTACTTACATATGAGCTTCAAATTTGTTAGCTAATTTTCCCATGATTTTACAACTAATTAAGCGGGACTGAAGCGTTTGAGAAAGCTGTGCTTTGGAAACAAGTGGATTCAGGATCTGTATAAAAGAAAAAAGAAGAAATGTGAACAGAAGAAATGTGAGCAGTAAAATAATGTATTCCCCTTCTTTAAAAAAAAAAAAAAAATCTAGAAAAACGTATCCCAAATGTCATCTATCCCTTTCATGGAATTAATCAGTACTAACAATCATGATGCCTATGTATATCAATAGTCTATTGGAAACCCATATGTAATATTCAGTGCTAATTATAGCATATTAAACCCATATCTTGGCCCAAATAGCAGTTTATGATTCACATCACAACCAGTTTTACATCCGTCTACTTGTGTCCTTATTTTGAGACTAAGTTGTATATGAATATTTATAGCTATTAGCTGGTAATTTTTACAAATACGTTCCTGCACAAGAAAAAAAAAAAATATGCAGAGAAAGGCAAAGGAAGCCTCTCTGAGGTTCTTTCTCATAGGTTTTCACAGGAAATACCACTTCTGATGTAAAGTTTTGAGGCAATAATCCCTCTCAATTATGCATATTTTGGGGATCTGTGGGGAAAAGGTTTCATTTCCATACAGACACAGAAAACCTGCTCTGTTGTGATTTGTTGGATCACCTCTATGGTGCCAGAAACAAACTAAGGCAGGCCTGCAGAACACCATATTTAGATATATTATTTTTTGCCCAGAAATAATCACAGAAGTCCAGGTGACAGGCCAAGAGGAACATTACAGAGCAGTATCTCCTGTAGCCTGCCACAGTTCCTCATTGCGGAGCTCCACAAAAGGATAATATACAGGGCAGGAGAGTCCAACAATATTCTAAAAGCATTTTTCTCCTCCTCTTAGCACATGAAATTTTGAGGTGAGAGAATCTTACCACTGCAAGGACAAATAGATCACCCAGACTAGAATTAGTACCCAGGGTATGCTTCTAACTGTAACACTGCATAACAAAACATACCATTAGTTAGTTATCTACAGAACTGTACATTACTTATTTGGCCTTTGAACTATGACAGTAAACACACCACATCTAGTAATACTAGACATTAACTACAATTACTGACCTAGATACAGTCTCTCCCATGAAGTGGCCATTGCCAGAGACAGGATACTGGGTTAGGCTGACCTTTGGTCAGACACACATACCTTCCCTTATGTGCTTGGAATCTATGATTGTCCTACGGTTTTTACTTACAAAAAGAAAAAGAAATGAACAACTAGAATATTCCAAGTTTTCTGATACAAAGATCCTTCAAGCAACACTGAGGGTCCCTTTTCAGATTCAGGATTCTGTACAGCTGCTGAATCAACTCGGCTTCATCAGTTGTGACCTTCCCAAAGCAAATTCTGGTGGAGACTTACAATTGTGTTCCTTGAGACAAATCAGGGGAGAAACTCCATCTTGTTTAAATAGAATCTTTAAAATTACATTGCAATTAGATTTCAGAGGTGACTACAATAATTTCTCTTTTTTTCCCCAATCTAACTTTTCACCCTTTAGCAGTTTATTTTTTAAACAGTGCTGGATTTCAATTACCCACTAATTTTAGTATTTTTATAGTACACAAACGATCATATATCTAAATGTCCATATTGTTTTACATTATAAACACAGTAAAATGCACCTGTTGCAGAGCTTTTAAACTCAACAATGAAATATGAATACTTAAAACAAAACTTAATAAATTAGCTGAGTAAAGGGGAGTGACATTATGACAGTGACAGATTTCCTTCCTCTTTCTTGAGCTACACAGTGAAAAACAAAGAGTATTTGCAGGCATTAGGTTTTTCGTACATCAAGAACAACTGAAATACGCAATGAAATGGATCTCTCGCATTCAGTCCTGTTTAGCAGAAATCAGAATTTTAGTCCAGTTGCAAACAAAATGTAGTTTCTTCACGAAGACATAGAATGAAATACTATCCTGTAAACCAAAACAGGATACATGAAAACATGCTACTGAACACTATGTGCAGCGGAACTGTTACAGTAAATGGTCTTTGTTTGCTGAAGAACACTAAAATTTTTTAAGGTGACCTTGCTGTCTCACCTTTTAGCACATTCCTTTCTTACAATATGTTCCACAAGCATTACTGTTTTCACAGCCATAGAACTGCCACAAATCCTATTGAAGCAAGACTTGCAGGGAAATACACAATCTTACAAAATATTATTATTTTGTTGTTAGCGTAAGTGGGAGACATTATTACCTCATGTCTGATAGTCTCTTTTGGTAAAGCTTCTATTACAGCAAGAAGAGTTTCTAGCCATGCATTGCTGACACCTGTTAGAAAGAAATGGGTTATATGTCATATGTTACGTTGTACATACAACAACTATAACAAAACACACATCAGTTTTACAGAATTAGTTCTCACTTTTTACATGCACCTCTTCAAGGAGCTATGTATCTAAAAGCCACTAAATTAACATTCAAGGCTTTAAACTAAGAAGCAGGATAGGTGAGAAGCAAATTCTGTCTCCATTTCTTTTACCTTTAAAATTCCTGTACAAAAATAATAATGATCCTGTTTGTTTTGAAAAGATAATTTCCCTCATTTAGAAGTATATTATTTTCTTATGCCCACTGAAACTTCCCAGTTTCACAAGAGACCATTGTTTTTCTCCTTTGTATCCTAAGAATAGTGTCAAAGAAGTTACAAAAAACTCATCACCACAGAAGAAATGTCAACCATCCTCACTCCATTTTTTCAGCTACAAAACTCTGGTACCTCAGTTAGAAGCTTGTACTCAGTAACAACTTTGGGATTTAGTCCTTCAGATAAAGTGTTTTGTCTGCTTCCACCAGAATTACATTTAAGTATCAGTATGTAATTAGTCAGCATGCAAAAATTTTTCATTCATGCAAGTCTAGATACAAAGTGACAGTGACTGCACTCACTGGTTTACACAGTATTGTATGGTCACTACGGAAACAAAACATAGAGAAGTAATCGGGCATCAGCATAACTGTACAGTCCTGACCTGCATCTCTGTGTTCCAGGTTCTGGAGAATGATGTGTAGGAAGGAGTGGGAGTATGTATGAATGGACACTGACTCCTCTTGCAGAACAGTCAAAAATGAAACAGCCGCTGTTAACTGCATTTCCACTCCTGCAACATGCAGCACCTCCTGTATAATTACAAATTATACCAATTAAGAGCATGAGGCAGAAACAGACTGAAAGAACATTCACATTTTTAGATTCACTTTTAAGAGTGCATATGCAACAACCTGGGTAAACCACAAAATTGGCTGTAAAATTATTTTCTCTTAACAGCAATTACTTGGAGATATTAAAATCTCTCACATTATAGCATGAGCCTTTTAAGAAAAATAAAGTTAATTATAATATTTTTTGTGACTTTCAGTTTCATCAATGCATATGTGTGGATTCTTCTACTTTACATAATGAGAGGTAAAAAGAGACCAGACAACAACTGCACTTTCGCTGTTTATGCACATGAATTAAAAAGAAGTACTTCATTCATCCAGTGAGAGACACTAAAATAGCAGAAGGCAATTTAAATTTCATCCCTTGCCACCTGACATGGAGCACAAATCAAAATGTTTGTGTGTGCATACATATAAGAATAAAGCAAGATGCAGTAGAATATTTAATTAAGTAACTCAGTATTTACTAGTACTTAGCTTTAACATAGAAGAATATAAGTAATTAGTCTGTCTTTAAAAGCATCAATTCAAAAGTTAAACAAAGATAATACGAGAATGAAATATTATTAAAATTTTTGAAAGAAACAAAAAGAAAATTTAAATTTCAGATTTATGCACATGCTGAAAAGCCTGCAGGAGGCAATCTTTGACATAGCATTCACTGTAAATATCTATCAGCTAGGTGAACATTCCATTCATTTACTTCTCTAAACGTATCTCTATCTAATGAGAAAATAAAGTACATTATGCTATTACTAAAGCATTACAGTCATTTAACATGTGATTCCAAATTCAGTAAGAGTTTAAAGTCCATACTTCCTGTTTAACAACTTATAGATGTGGTTTTGCTTCTTTTTTTTTAAAGTGCTTGAGATGAACAGTGTTTCTCAGATCACATATCAAAAATCAACGATAAATTGGTATTTTAATTTTTTTAAAGAATCAGCCTAGACCACAGTAAGAAAATATCCGTTATGGACCAAAGTATTATATAGCAGAGGAATTTTGCTGAGAAAATACAGTTTGCAGAGAACATCTGAGAAATTATTTTAGTAGACTTTGCTTACTTCAAAGTAAAACAACAAGAAGTTTTCACTACACAATTGTCAACCACTTTGTGTGTGCAAATGTGCATTTTTTTAGTTTATCCGATTTCAAAGATAAACATTACTTAACTCTCAACAGCTGTCTTGGTTTACAGCCATGTGTGTATTTCTAAAAGCATTCTCTGTGCCCCTGCTCCCCTAAATGAAAAGAAGAAACAGCACTGGGCAGCTTACCAATCCAAGTGTGATAAAATATTTGCATTCAATAGCCATGAGAACCACCCTCTCGTCATCACCACAGCTTATCTCTGTGCTTGCTCCTCTACTGTTATTACAACCGCCATAGCCAAGAATAAGGACACCTACCAATTTTGTAATTTGAATGTTTCTGGGATCAGAATACTGGAGTTCTGGGATATTGGCTTACACCTGTTCAAAAAAACATTACCAAAATAATCAAGAGCTATCTACACACGGTAGATGCTAAGACCAGAACATAATGGAGCTAAATTCAATTTTATGTATGTATTCAAATTAGCATCAAATAAAGTTTCCAAATAGTCTCCTCCACAGATCCACAACTCTGGATAATCATGTGTGAGAACACATTCTCTGGATGTGCCTCCTCATGGACCTCGGGAGACATTGAAATGTAAGTTTCTAAACTGCTTACACACCTGCCTGCATTGATGTTTGCACTCAGAACTGTACAGTTCCACATGTGAAAATGTGTGGGTCTCCCCTTCTCATTCCAATTTCACTGAATTCAAGTTGAATGACTTAAATTTACTTAACATAAATTTATTTATTTAAAAAGTAATGTATTTTTCTATACGTGGATCCTCCACAGATTCTCATTCTGGAGGAAAAAACCTTTTCCTGTATGTCTTATTCAGACAAAAGTATTTAATGGAATTTAAGAGTATTAGCATGTTCTTGAAATATCCTAATGTCTACAAGTTAAACTCCGGCATCAATGCTTGCAAAACTTAGAAAGGATGTCTTATTCCATTAATTGGAAAACAGAAAATTCACCTCTGGTTTAATCCACTTTATGTCCCGCAGCAACAGAATTTTCTTGAAAGACTGCTGCAAGCAGAAACATAGTCAATCGTTTCAGTAACTGACAGACATCTTCATTTAAGACACAGAAATAATGGAGATTACAGAAGCTCAGATACAGTAAGGACGGACCTTAAAATCAATGTTAGGTATGAGACAGGGTGAAAAATCACCCCACCCCTTCTTAAACTATAAAATCAACTAGGAAAAATGAAAAGCTTTCAAGGGGAGACAGATATACTAGGAAAATAAGTAACTGTGAAAATGACTTTGGAACTAATAAGACAGTGCCTAATAAGGCTTGATGTATACGTGTCAATAAGACTAGCCATAGTGTTCTGCAAACACAGCATTTGGAAAGATCTTTTATTAGTCCATCAGATAGACACCTGCAGTTTCCCTCCGCTGCTTGTGAAGGCAGTGCCCAAGGATGGAAAACAGGGAGAATACTACTAACATCACTTGAAAGGAGCCATTTGGTGCACAAGAAATGCTAGGAAGGCTGTCTAAGCTTTCCATAAATATGCATTTCGACAACTTCCAAGGTTCATGAGGAGGTGCATGCAGAAATCCAGAGAGTGGGGATCTCTATGCAAAAGAACCCATACAAGGATGCCACTTCATTTTAATTGTAGAATTTAAAAAAATATTTAATAATTTCATTCCTACATAAACATCTAAATGATACAGAACATATTTGTTTTATCAGCATAACTAAAATACTGACACCCAATTTAATAATTACTCAGATCTGGCATATTTATTGATGTATTTTATGTTTGATTTTGTTCATCTCAGACCTAAAACACTTATGTTAAATATATAAAGGGTCTTTGATATAATTTTAATTTAATTAGGTTTTCAGGAATTATAATAAATCTGCATATATAGATTTCTGTATTTATTTATACAAGTAACCCCATTTATTAATGTCTCACAAGTGGAATAAAAAATTGCAATGTATCCAGCCAGAACATTCCTTGCATTTATTTCTTCCTGTATCTGTTTTATCCTCAGCTCTGATAAAGACAGTATTTATTTTTGCTTTTGGGTTTCTGCAAGTATGCTAAATAAGTACACTGTTTTCCCTACCCAGTTATATGGTGACAATACTGTCAAATAAATAGCACCCTTAAACTACTATACAACTCATTTGTTACGTGTAAGTTTGAATCCACAAATGACTTTTCCCCATCAAGTGAAACGAAGTGCAGTAATTTAAGTCAGTTTACTTCCCTGCAATGCCAGACTACATTTGCAAGACTTTAATCATAGTTGAGTTCAGTTATGCCTTTGTAGATTATAACATTTCCCATGTAATGGTCAGAACTATTCTTCCAATAAAAACAAGGATAAGGAAAAAAAAATAGGTCAAGTGGTTAATGATGCCAAATACTGTTTTGCAGTTAAAAGTGCAATGAACATGGGTACAACACAACTGTTCTTCTATTACAGATTAAATAAATATTAGATAACAGAGCATCATTGAAGAACCTGCTTTATAAGAGTATAGCCACAGAACGAAATTTAACTCATATACATTCCAGAAAGTTTTAATTTATAAAGCTTAAACCTGAAAGGAAAACTTAGATTTAGACTGACCTCATTATATGTCACTCTTTTACCTCTGCCTTGAGCTCATTAACTTAAGTTTCATTTAATTTATCAGCTAGGAAGGCATTCAGTTTGGATTTAAATGACAATGCAAGATGAAAACACACTACTTTTCTCAGTTATTTGCTCAAAGATTGATCAGATTTATTATTAAAATTGTCTGTTTCATGTCTAATATTTCTGTCTCCAATTCCTAACTCTTCTTTCTTCATACACTGTTTTGAGTTGAATGTCCTTTAAAATTTTGCAGTAAGATACTTTGTAGAAGTAATTAAGTACTGCCTGATCTACACAGAGCTACACAAAACACACTGAGCTCCAACTCCCACCGTACAAATATTTTCCAGGCTCTAGGCAGTGATCATGCTAACGATCATCCTTTCACATTTTTTCTCCATCACTATAAAAAACCTAAGAGTAGAATCAAAAACTGTATTCGCATATTAGACTTTTTATTAAAGACAGAGAGGCAAAGACTACCACTTCTCAACACCATGACAAATAAGGATAAAAAACCCCTGCGTTTCTTATTATGGCTTTATTTCAGGAAAAACTCTGCTCTCAAAACAGAAACACCAGAGACAAAAATGGATTCAGTATGTTAAACAGAAAATAAAAAAAAAAAACACCCAAAAATGTTCCTTGAAGCCAGTAGGTTGGTTTAGGAAAGAATGCGTTATGAATGTCAGAATAGTATGTGGTAGTAACTGCAGAAACTTGGTGCAAGTTAAAGGGTTTTAAATGACTTTGCAACTTCAAGTCATTCTTTTTCTCAAAGCTTTTTTTTTTAATACACATATATATATTTAAACAAAATGCCTATTGACCTGTATCTTAGAGCACAGAACATAATAACTAGGAGTATAATGTTTTCTAAACAATCTGTCAGTCTATACTAGTCCTCAGTTCTAGAGGACAACTATTTCTTGGCCATTTGCAGAATTTAAATTATCAGACAAAAGTTGGAACAGCTCCTCTTAAGAAACAGGAGTCTCCTGGGATCTCAGAAGTTTCAGGAGATAATATGAATGGTGATGTCTGATATTCACAGAATCACAGAATGGTGATTGGGTGAAAGCCTCGTCCAACCTGACCTTGACTGTTTCCAGGGATGAGGTATCTACCACCTCTCAGGGAAACCTGTGCCAGTCTTTCACCACCCTCACTGTGAAAAATTTCTTCCTTACATCTAGCCTGAATCCACCCTCTTTTCATTTAAAACCGTCACCCCTTGTCCTATTGCTACAAGCTCTATTAAAAAGTCTGTCCCCATCTTTCTTAGAAGCCCCCTTTAAGTACAGGAAGGCTGCAATAAGGTCTCCCTGGAGCCTTCTCTTCTCCAGGTTAAACAACCAAGCTATCCTTTATACAAACATATCTGCATATAAAATTGCTGTATAACATTACATGGCCAGCATGCATCTACCACAGCTAGAAGTGACTTACTAAAAATGTGGAGGGCAGCACATGAAAGTTCAGACAGCTAAAAGCGAAGTATACTTTTCTAGATAGCAGCATGAAAATCCTAGTGTTTGGATGGAAGCAGACTGAGAACATCAAAATGAACCTGGCTGATCCTCAAAAAGAGCACTCAAAAAGCTGTCAAAACACTGGTAAACCTTTAGAATATGCAATTAGTATTAATTCTGCTTTCTCTTCCTGTTGTAACATTTTTCAAAAAATATAATACCTGCAATACTTTGTAACTAGAGTGAATTAATGTGGAAGATCTACTAGACATACCTCTCCTAGAGAGAGAGTTTGCAACAGAAGTGGGATTTTTTTGCCTTTGTTGAAATACTTACACTAGTAGAAAAAGATACATTGAAACCTTATTACACACAACTTACTCTGATTTTTGGTAAAACCCGACGAAGTGTTTCTGCAGGATTCTGTCGCATCAGGACTGGAAGATTTGCCACCACACTTGTTCCTTGGATATCCTGGCCAGAACTTACAAAAATATATACATAAAATACATTACTCTCTCCAATGGTTACAAGCTCACAGCTTTCATTTAAAAAAAAAAAAAACACCACACACCAAAAACAAACAAACAAAAAAAAAACCCCAACAAACCCAAACTACCCATGTTACTCATATAAGTCAGGAAAGGCATTACTTTTTTAATATAATATGCAGTAGAAAACAATATTAAAACAACATCAATCATAAAAGCTGTTATGTATCATTTCTCATATGGAATATTCAAATTTTTAATGTAGCTTTGGAAAAAGATGTAAAATTTTTTATCTTTTCAAACTGGATGATCAAGACAGTGGTTTTGTGGAAGCTTTTCTATTATAACAATACAAGGGATAAAGCATAGGAAGGGGACAAATAGAAGATATCAATGAAAACTACACTCAACATATAACATTTTAACAGAAATCAACCATTCTGTTCCTTTTTGT